ATTTGTGAGTACCGAATCGGTACTTCGAGTCAACCAACGTACCCGTTACTCAGTAACGAATTCATGCGGTTTGCTCCAGCTCTAGTGATTCGTGTATGAATGAAAGGTCTCTGAAATGTCAAACGGTTTAACGAAATTATAATTTAATGATATTAATTGTTTATCATTTATTGTAATTTTAAGATTCTAATATAAATAAGAAAAAAAAAAATATGCTGAAATCACTTGTGGCTGCCGGATCGCAAGTTTTTAGAAGTAACTAAGATTTTTCATTTTATGTATTTTTACAGAAAATTTATGTTTTCAGTCCGTGTTAAGTATTTTATCCTTTTCATAAGATGATGATGGTAATTTCTCAGTATTATACTAAGTCAAAAATGAATATTCTATGAACTCCAGAAGTCAGGAAACTAATTGCTTATTCTTGTCATGCCTCAAATAAAAGAACCCTCATTCTGTATCATGAGTAGCCTGTGAGTAAACATTATATGTTCACTTTACGAGTATATGTAGAAAGCATATCCCATTTGCTTTTGAACGGCATTTTGAATGGATCTCTGTACATTTGTATATGTAGATGGTGTGATTTGGGTGTAGAACGTTTTGAGCACTTTGATCTACTTGCCTGTGTTCGTAAATTCTTGGGATCTAAATGAAGGAGTAGATTGGACAGATTATTAGGTGTAGCAAAAAGCTATAGTGCGAGATCAGCCTTTAAAGAAGTGTTTTATTTCAAAACTTTATTGATCACATTATGCATATAAATAAAATAAATACATAAAAGTGTGTAATGTTAGGATTTGACAGATTATGATTTTTGTTTTCATTTCTTCCATATTGTTTCATTTTATCAATAAACTCCTTTTATATAACGTATATATAAATGATTTCAGGCAGTATTGCTATAAATTTGCAATTCTGTTTAAAATTAAAATATAGATTGTTCCATTCAAAAGTGGAATATTAAGCCATTCTGTTTATTTGTAACAGCTTTTTATCATTCGCAGAGTTTGTATGGTCCTTAAGAGTCTTTAGGTTTTTTGGAATTGATTTCTGTACCTTGAAAGGCATTAATTTCGGCCAAGATCACCAGAAAGTCCTTAATTTTATTCATCTGAAATTTCTGTTTGTTTCTATGCCTCCCATTTTGAGTTTAAATTGGTATTGTGGTAAAATATTTTTGTTGATTCACTGACAAATATTGGTTGATCTTTACATTATGGTAACTTGGCGAAAATTTGGCAACCAACTCTCCTACAGCAACCCTCTATTTTTTTTTCCCCACCGCCATTTTGTCGTCACGAAGTATGACTGTGTTCTTTTCTTTTAGCTACGACACGTCTTTCCACAATTCTACAGCCGAATTACACTTATTCTAGAAATTTTATCAACAAACGGCTAATCATGACAATACACTGCAAATTCGGAAAATGCACAATCCATACTCCTTACGCGTTTTTCATAACATACACATAAACCATGTACACGTCAACCTATTTTAATTTAAAAAACATCCCATAATTGCACAAAAATGGCATTGCTCACCTTCACTATAATCATACCTGCTTTTCTCTCTACTTAGAAATTCACGAAAATCGACCATTTGCTCATCTTACCCGTAAAAACATATATAAATTACCTATCGCGAAAATAATTCCCTTCCAAATTGAACATTCACTATAAAATAATATCCAAAAACTTTTACCTCTAATCATCTATACATATACACCCCACGAATTCATACCGCAGCATTACAATACTTAGTATCAATATTTAAATTATTCCACGCATGTTGCTTCAACTAACGATACCAATCCTCCAAACAAAATTCACAAAAACTATCATTTCTTAAAATATCCCTAAACCAGTCCACGGCGCTTATTTTTATCAAAAAACCCCAGAATTGCACAAAATGGCCTTGCGCATACTCTCACATAATCCATTACACTGCTTTTTCTCATAATTAGAAAATTTCACGAAATACATGACAATTTGCTCAATCTTTAAACCCGGTAAAAGAACATATAATTACCTAAGCGCGAACAGTATTTACCCTTTCCAAATATGAACATTTCCAATATAATAATAACTTCCAAAAACTTTTCCTCTAAATCTATTAATTCTAACGTCACCACGAATCATACCGCACCATTCAAATACTTTATGTCAATTTAATTATTCCATGCACGTTACTTCACTAAACGTATACCAAAATCCTACAACATAAATCACAATATCATTCAATAAAATATAATTAAATTCAAACACTACTTCAATATAAATGACCTACATTAAATTAATAAAATTACTTACAATCCTATTACGGGAACTAATCAGGCTAAACATTTCCCAATAATACCAATCCTTTCCACCTTACATTTAGAACTGCAGAAAAGATCCTCAAATAATTAAAAATACTACGGACCTATCTTCTTCAGAAGCGTTATAGTGGCGTTACCTTTTCTATTCTTCATAAATTATTGAAAGATTTTTTTCTGCGAATTTTTCTCCATACTCTCGCTAAATAAAAAGCAAACTTCTCTTTATCACAAGCTAATACCCATTTCGAATCACTAGTTAGGGCCATGGGATCCAAAATTAAAAAAACTGTTTCCCAACACAGATAAGCAAATACAAAATTCAACATTTTGCCCGATTCCCCCTTTCCGATTAAAAAACTTTCGTCCATTAATACACATGACATATCCAATATCCTCATTTCCCTCACGCAATAATGATATGAACAAATCCTACATTTTAAAATCGCCTCCAAAAGCGCCAAACTACCGTTACCATATGTAAGATCAACCCATATTTTTCATGGTTTTCATGTGATTTGTTCATTCTAAATAAATGGTGGGAACTACTCTTATATGCACCTAGGTGTAGCGAGAAACCCAACTGCCATATTACTATTTTAAATTTTGTCACATTTCGAACTTTAAGCCTAAAATGTCTCCAAAAGCATGGTTTTCGCACATGCAAAAACCACATTTTGAAGACACAATTTAAGCTAAGAATCCGAAACAAAAACAAAAAATTTAGAAAGCAAAACATAAAGGGCTACTTTACATATGGTAACTGGTATTTGGCGACATTTTGAGGCGATGAAGGTTATACTGGGACTTGGTAATATGTGAGCAGTACTCAGTTCCGATTATGCATTATTTTGTGAGGTAAGGAGAGATCATTGATATTAATGGACGATTCGATTTTAATCGGAAAGGGGGGAAATTGGAAATAATCTGTAATTTGTATTTTCCTTATTCGTGTTGTGTGAAACAGTTGTTAATTTTGGATCCATGGCCCTAACTAAGTGAATTCGAATGGTATTTTATGAGAAAGGCGTAGTAAAGTGTTTTTTGTTTGCGAGATAGAAGTAAAGATGTTTATTAATTATTTATTTCCTGTACTGTGGTGTGAACTAAATATGATTTTAAAGATCCTGAAACAGAAATAAGAAAAGTTCGGACACGAATTCAGATTCTGAAGAAATAGTAAGTTGTATTTTTAATTATTTGAGGATATATTTTTATGCTTGTTCTAAATGTAAGGTGAATAAGTAATTCCCGTAACTTGCATGGATATTTAAAATTGACACTAATTTTTTGTAATATTTGCGGTCTGAATTATTAGTGACGTAATATCTAATACTGTAGAGGTAATTTTTTGATATTTTATTTATTTTAGGGGAAATGTTCATATTTGGAAAGGGTATATACTTTTCGCGATCAGGTATTTATATGTTCTTTTTAAAGTTTAAGATCAAAATTGTTTGCATTTTCTCAATTATAAAGAAAAAAGCAGTGTACATGGGAATAGTGAGCAGTGTGGTGCCATTTTTGTGCCTTCTGGGATTTTTTTTAAGTAAAATAAGTCGACGTTACAGGTTTTTTATATTTTATTAATGATAGTTATTTGTGAATTTTATGTTTGTATGAATTTGGTATACGTTTTAAGTTGAGTAAGGGCATGAATAAAAATCTTTTAAGTTTTTAATGCTTGCGGGTAGAATTCGTTGGTTCTGTATATATAATAGATGATTTAGAGGTAAAAGTTTTTGATTTTTTTTTATTTTATTGTGGAAATGTTCTATTTGGAAAGGTTAACTTTTTGCAATCAGGTATTTCATATATGTCTTTTTTACGGGTTTAAAGATCGAAATTGCATGTATTTTCGTGAAATTTTTTAATTTATGAGAAAAAGCAGTGTACATGGATTAGGAATGTTGAGCAATGCCATTTTTGTGTATTCTGCTTTTTTTTTTTAAAAATAAGTCGTCTGTCATGTTTATGGTATGTGTTATTTTGAAAAACGCTTAGAGTTATGGTATGGCACTGTTCCATTTTGCAGTGAATATTTGTCATGATGACATTTGTTAGATAAAATTTCTATCATAGTTAATTCGGCTATAATTGTTGGAGAAAGTTCAGTAGATAAAAAAAAAACCTGTTTTACTGCGTAAGACAAATGGGGCGGGGGAAAAAAAATAGATGTGCTGTAGGAGATTGGTCACCAAATTTTCGCCAAAAATCACCAAGTTCCATAAGTAGTCAACCATAAAGATTCTAACCAAAATATTGACAAGATCCATGTAACAGTGATCTATTAACTTCATCTACGATTGCACAATCTAGGCAACGAACGAATTATGAACAGCACACCTCTTTAAAAATTAACCAACAATAAAATTTCAAGAATACCATCTACACAGCATCCTGTTTAAACTTTAAAAAAAAAAATCATCTACTAATTGCACAATCTAGGCATTGTGCATAAATCAACCAAATAAACTAAACTAAATTACAGGCAATTCAAAAAACAACAATAACAACAAAAATTCATAGAAAAAAAAACAACGAACATGACATTCTACAAAATAAAAACAGTAAAATAAAATGCACTTACCATAATACATTCCTGAATAAAATTTTGCCAGTCGCACAATGTCCGTGAACCAAAGTGCCACGATTTTGCTATATTACATGTCTTTCTGAGATTCAAAATTTTGAATGTAATGATAAAAACTTCCTCCAAAGTTAACTTGCTACAAACCAACCCCACCCAATCTTAAACCTGCTGAACCATTTGACTGCAAAATCACACAACTATCAGAACGCCCTTCTTCTCCGAGTTCTCATAGCAGCTCCGCATTTCGAACTCCGTTTTAAAAGTCGCACAGAAATTCCAAAATACACTTCAATCCTCATAAACACACCCATGAACAAAAGACTCGTTGACAACTCCAACAACTTTTAATACTAAATTTACTTTCCACACAATCTAAAAATCGACTGAAATCTTCCCACCACGTCTATCATTGCAACATGGGCCATTTCAAAACACTTACGGCACAAACCAAAGAGCAATTAAACCACTCCAGGAAAAGATTTTGTAACGTCAACAGGGTTACCATATAACACACAATCAAGCCAAAAACCAGCATAGAGCACACATTGCCACATTGGTGAAATTAGGGTGCATATAAGAGTCGAGCCAAATGGTGTAATACTCGAGTTCCGGAGCAAGAAGTGAAACATAAGCATTTTTAATTTCTTTCTTTTTCTAATAAAGAGCTCTTAAACAACTTCTGCTTTTGGGGATGTGAATTCTTTTATTAAATGGCTCTAAATTTGGTGACGTATCAACATTTTGTAGATTTTAAGATAAAATTTTTACTTCGGAAGTTGTGAATTTTTCAAACCTTTTTTTTAAAAAAAAGAATGTTGTAACATTGATAAATTTCATTAAAATAATGATAATATAATAAAGTTATATTTCAGAAATAACATTAAAATGAAACATTATTTTACATTATAAAGTAAAATTACATTCCAGTTTGGTGACTTATTGTGGCAATATTTTGAATCTGAAAAATAAACAAGATAATAATGCTATAAAACACAATTTATGAAGCAATTCTTAACAGAAGCAAAACAACTATATAATTATTTTAAAAAGCCATTTTTATACTTTATAGTAGGACTTTTTCCCCAGTGTAGTTCTCTCTCTAGGGAAGCAGTAGCAGTGGCTACAGGCAATCATCAGTTACAAATTATACTGATTATGACTTTACATCTCATTTTAACCTATACCGTTTGATATAAAATCTGTCTGCTATTTACTAAACCTTTAGACTGATCAAGTACCTGACGAAATGAGACACAAAAGGAAAAATCAGTATAATGTTAACTGTTAGTAAAATTAAATAAAATATCGCTAATGTTCTGTAAAATACGTCCAGCTATTATAAGTGTAAAATATTTAATACTACTTGACAAATTTTACAAAGTTGGTTTTATTCTCAAATTTATTTTATATTTTATGCTTAATAATAAAGCATCGTACTTATACATCTGTTTTATTCTTAGGATGGTATTACAAAAGGGAAATTCAGGCATAGATAATATCTTTAAATGAATTTATTCAGTTCTCATTGGTCCACCAGCGGCCGAGCGGTAAAGACGCTGAACATTAGTAGTTCGGTCCAAGGTTCGAATCCCGCGAACGGGGCATGGGTGTTTTCGTGGTTTTCCCCATAAGTAACGTGTATACGAGCCAGTTTCCATTAGAAAGTTCTTCACGAAGGCATCCCTCCCTTTTGGCAGATAGCCCTCGTGTGCTTTGCCATAATTGAATAATCCTATTCCAGTCAGTTCCCATTTCCTGATAGGTCCTTATTATTATTATTTTTAATGGTTCTTAAGCATCCTTAAAAGTATTTAATTACCATGTGCAGAAATGTGTACAAACCCTGATTCAGCTTCTGATTTAGTTAAATTTAACATGAAAGTTTTTAAACAGTAAATAGTTATATAAACTGATAATAATATGTTAGAGGTACAGATGGCTGAAAATGATGCACAGTTCAAATCTCAAAGCAAAATAAACTTGTACTTCTTTGTTAAGTACTTGTGCTTCTTTGTCAAATTTCTCTGATTTTTATACAGTCAAAAGTCGTTAATTCGGACACCAGAATGATCTATAATCCGGACCTCAAAGCTAAAAACATTCTGCGCATGCGCCGCGTTGACACATGCGCATAGGTGTTAACGCGTGCGCGTAAGACCTTTACGACTGCGCATATGCGTGTGCGCAAGCGCAGAATACGTTTTCGCGTGCGCGTTTAATGTATAACGGATGGTACAAGCTAAAATTATCTAATTATCTATTTCAGTTAATGTTGATGATTGCGTTGTTCCTTAATCTTCGAATTGGATCCGGATTATTATTTTTTGCAGACTGTAAGAGCAATTTTATAAAAGTAAACTTGAACTTTCGATTATGTCAAATAGAATTTCCGATTCTGGAGCTCCCAAAGGATCGTACAAAACGAAAGTATGTTTCGATGTCCATCAAACAAAAAGTGAAATTGCTGCAAAAAATGGAAAAGAAATGTTTAATAAAGTAAACAAATAAATATTAAGCTTTTTTTTGTAAATTTTGATACCCTTTAGATTATAATTATTCTTTATTTCATAAATTAAGGTTTCATATTTTTAATTTTAGAATTCCTGCATGCCATCTTTTGAGATTTAAACTGATGATCTATAATCTGGAAAAATCGATAATCTGGAATGGCCGAAGTCCCGACGAGTCCGGATTAACGACTTTTGACTGTATTAGCCTAGATGCAAATTTAAATTCTTAAGCAGGGTTTCTTAAACTGTGGTTCAGGGGACCTTGCAGCAGGGGGTCGCGAAAAATTTTAGCAGTTTTGATATTTCTTTAACTTATTATAATAATTTTACAATTACCAAATATTTTTATGCAATGTATCTAAAAATAGATAAGGATAAGACAATACAGACAAAGAGAAAAAAAACGAAAACATTTCGACGCATTCTTTTTATAATATAAACGTTCATTTTCCTTGCTTTGAATGTGACGCTGTCATTTTGTCTGTTACTTATTTAAAATTTTCACACTGTTTTATGTCTTAAAATTAGAAATCAAAGTTAATGACCTAAACCTGCAATAGTATATTACAGTAAAAATAAAAAAATTGACAGTTTCACTCATGCATGTGTTAGATTTGCACATTACTTATGGGGTCTCACAAAATTTTTGTAAATATTATGGGGTCCTGGGAGTCGCGAAAAAATCTCGGTGATAAAAAGGGTTCGCGACTGAAAAACGTTTAAGAAACACTGCTCCTAAGTATTGTTTCTTCTTCTTTCCTCCCAACAGAAGAACAATATGGCCACTATTGTCATTTACTTTTGTTTTTTGGCATTGAATAACCTCTTTAGCTATCCATAAACATTACCGAGCTTTTTGTTGAGTATAATAATTTGCAATAAAGTCCTACAATCTGGTTCTCATGTTGAATATGATAACTTGCAATAAAGTTTTACAATCTGGTTGTCATTATGTTGAATATAATAATTTGCAATCAAGTTTTACAGTCCAGTGCCATCTTTAAAAAGCATTCATTTATCATTGAAAACACATTAGTTTGGTAATAGTTCTATTTCTTAAACAGTTTAGAATGTTCTCATATACAAAATTTAGACATCACTAAAGAATCTCATATTTTTTCAAAAAAAAAAAAAAAAAATAGCTGAATATGGGAAATAAAACTGTCATACATTGGAGCAGTTGTCTTTAAATATCTTGGATTTTAAAATACCCAGACTGCCAACATAATTATCTTGATGTCAAGAAAGTAATGGTTAAAACACAAGTATCATATTAATTTTGGATTTAGAACTATTTCTTAAAAAATGTCACATATTTTTAATTAATGAGTTCCCCCCCCCCCCCCTCCTTCCTAGGTTTCACTGGCTTGAAAGTTATGAATTCTCCTTCATGTTCTGCTCATTTCTCTAGCTGGATGAATTCGAATCAGAAGCCTTTAATAGCTGGTGTTTTTTCTGGAAACAATCTTCTTAATGAAAGAGCTCCAAATAGGTAAGATAGTGATCTCTTTTATGTATATGAAACTTCCGACATTATTATGATAACATTTGTCTCATTGTATTTTATTACAAAATCTTTGAAATGTGACTACAGGCCTGTAATTTTTTAATTATCAGCCTAGATATATATTTTCATATCATTTTTTTTAATAAAGTGAATAAATAATCTTAATCTGATTCTTAGTATGAGAAAATATCTAACTTTTATATGCTTTCTGTAGTAACTGAAACTTCATTAGCCCTGTCTGGATGGCTTGGAGTAAGGACTGTCTAAGACCAATGTAAGCGTCAAGCTTCTTACGTAGTACTGGTGGGTAGCACTTTCGATAACCAGTCAGATCTTCAGATGTGCATGTTCTCTGTGATCCTTGGGGGCTGGGAGCGGTGGCCCCTTGCACCTGGGGGTAGCAGTAGTAATACAGAAAAATTTTTAAAGTCTGCTGTCTCAGATTAGGGGTCCCAGGGTGGTAGCACTCCTCTCCTGGAGAATTCTGACTGGCTGCCCACCCTCTGCCTAATATGGGGCCTCTCAGTTGGGACCCAATATGTGTAGTGTCAAACCGATGGAACCTGCTTAATAAACATATTAACTCTTGATCATATAATTGAGAATGAAGTTGAGAGATTTTGAATTTTATCATTTAAAGTTATTTTATTTCAATGTGTTTCATTTATTTAGATTTTACCTGGTTTTAATTTAAATAATCTTGTGGAACTAATGCATTAATTCATTGCATTATTCCAGGAAGAATTTGTATGCGACGACCTTACCTGGTTTTTGGAAATTTGGTTTACTTTTAAGATAACATTATTTCATTGCCGTTAGTATAATTCTTTTAGTTGTTTCAATTCTCTTTACATTGAACAGGTTAGAATGAATTAACTATATGTATGGCTTATCATAATCATTTAGTTTGTGCCAGGAAATGCATCAGCCCTACCCAGCCCAATAAAGTCATTCAAAGTTTTAAAAAAACTTTAGTTTAGACCTTTTTTTATGTTTATTTAAACACTGCATTAATTTTATTAATTTATTTTTCTATTTCAGATCACTTTTATTTAGTGAAAATCCAAATATAAATGTGTCTAGAAGTGTGACTAAATTTTCTCTAAAGACTGGCAAAATGAAAAGTGTTGGAGCAGTCCTCTCTCGGTTTTATCGTTTAGATAATGGCCTTTGGATTCGTAGGAGAGCTGGATCTCATAAGCATCTATGGAGAAGAAATTATAAGTCACGATATGAAAAAGTACAGCATGTAGTTTGTACAAAAACACAATGTATAATGTTTGATAAAATGGTTTCTAAAGCCTATAAAAAGAAAAAATATTTTATTGATGATCCATTTGAGCCATATGAAAAGCGTAATAATTTTGACTATGTTCTGCCTATAAGGCATATCTAGAGATGAAATCAGTCTGTTTCTTGAAAGCAGTAGTCTTTAAAAACAACTGTTTGTATTTAAAAGGCATTTTAGTTAAAATAAAATTGTTATTACATATTTCATACTTTTGTAATTATTTAACTCACAGTGCAAAGGAATGATTCTTTGGCTGTATTTTATTCAACCACCGTAGACGCATTGTTGAATTTTTATACATGATCCTCTTTGTTGGTCAACTTATTTTCAATAAAAAAAATCACCTGAAACATTAATATTGTATGGTACATTTTAAACTTCCAGTTAAAAAAATAACTAATTGTGAGGAAAAAGTAATATTAAAATTGTATTAATTAAAACAAATTAATATCTGTGTTCGCAAAAAAAAAAAATTAATAGGATTGTCTATAGCTGTTGTGTTTTACTAATTTTTCTATATTTATATATTTTATTTTATTTTAAGAAAATAGTTTTTTTTCAGAGTATTTGAAAAAATTACTTCAGCATTTCTTACATTCACTTAGAAACAGGAAATAATCAAAATAGGATGTGAAAGTCAATTAACTTTCTTTGCTTGGGCATTTGAAACAAGTTGTTCTGCATGCTTAAGTATGTATTTTAGATTATTATTCTTTCAATATTTGTGCATAAATATAAATCCTGTAGTTTCTTAGCAGTTTATGGTAGCTGTAAAAATCTGCCATTTCATTGTTGATGTAGTTTAAATAGCCAATCATAACTGCATAGGAAGTCAAAGTCAATGCAGTTTAAATAGCTATTTAGTTAAATATTTCATACAATCTTGTAATCAATTTGTTCTCTCTATTTATGCAATACTTTTGCATGCTATGCATTCATGAAAATCTGCTTAAAAAAGTACTAGGCCAAATAAATATGAATACTTGAATCTTTATTACTATGGAAAATATACTGTGATATGCAAACTAATTGGGACCAATCGATTTTCTTCATAAATTTAAGTACATACCTTCACATAGAGTGATGATAATAAAATTAATAGGAAATTTTTCATTTTTTAGCAGAAACAGCCTCTAGAATGCACCTAGAGTAGTCTTTTTCCTTCTTTATCATGGAACAACACTTTCATAGCATTTTGAATTGTGTGCTCTTTTATCATACAATCTGTTTTGCTTAGATTTTCCTTGATAATGTGCCATAAACTTTCAATAAGATTTAAGTCAAGTGAATTTCCTGGCCAATTCAGCAGAATAATTTTATTTTCTGATATGAACCTTACAACAGATTTCGAAATGTAGCATGAAGCCAAGTCATATTAAAATGCCCATGCAAAGGTTTTGAAGAATGGTACAATCCTGCATTTGAAATTTCTATATACTTTATGAATTCAGCATTCCGTGAATAGGAACTAGACTTCCAGTGCCATCTATAGTGAAAAAAACCTAAAACATTTGTTTTTGAGAGTATTTAAGGTTTGTTGATTCATCCTTACTTCATCTACAATGTTAAATGTGTAAGCATTGAACAAATAAGTCTCATCACTGACAATGATCTTTTCCCAGTCATTTATGGCCCAAGATTTGTATTTTTTAGCTCCTTGCAATAATAATTTTTCCTTCATTTGATGTGTTAAAAATTGTTTTTTTTTAACTGGCTTCTTTCTTATTCCAGCCAGCAGTTAGAAGTATGCCAATTAACAATAAATCTCTTTTAAGGTTTGTTTCTAGTTTTTATTGGATTAATAATTCTATTTTGGAGGAGGAATCAATAAGATTTTGGAGTTGTTTTCTTTTTCCTTCCACATTAACCCTTTCTTTCTGGAAAAAATATCCAGTTTCATTGTGTCTCCTCAGAATTCAAGAAACACCTGATTTTCCAACACAAACCATAGAAGTTTTTTACAGTCACGGATGTGCGATTGTTAAATCTTTCTAGGCATTATATCCATTTTTAATATGCTAAAATGAATGAATGTGAAACTTATTAAAAAAGTATGCTAAAGTAACATCCTCTTCTTACAGAATGAATGAATGAAACTTATTTAACACTTTTGGTCCTAATGGGTACATACATCTCACAGATTAGATTTCATGGCCTATGGTAAATAAAGCCCACTTTAAATGGGTTTTTACGTTTACAGTGTTTTTAAGGAATAGGGGAACAAATATATGACTAAAGAAACCTGGCAATACTTTTAAATTATAAATGGCACACTTATGTTTTTGAGCATAACAATTACTTGACTTTCAATTTGTTCTTTCTTTCTTTCTTTCTTTTTTTTTTTTTTTTTTAAATTTTACAGTAAGTACAATTATATTTAAGGCATGCTTAGTATGAAATAACTTGTTCTTATTAAGAAGTAATTTAATTTTTTTAATGTCAGATTTAAGAAATTTTGAACAAATTCTTTTTGTGGGATATATTGTCCCAATCGTATTTAACAGTGGGTTAATATGTCCCATCAGTGATCAAATTACTACATGCTGATATATTTATGAAACATACATGAAAATTTTTGCTGTATATGAACATGTTTGCCTGTATGTGACAGTTTATATTTTGTAATATTTACATTATACATTAGCATAAATTTCAGTTTTGTTTTCTGAGAAAGGGTAATATCCTAGACAATTGGGACAAATAGTCCCAGTTGACAATATGATTGGGACATATTGTTCCAGGTGATTTCCAGGAAACAGGAAAAGTTAAAAACTTTAAACTTATATTACACTTCTTTTAGTCAATTTAATCAAAATGTTGCAGAAATTATTATTTTTTCACTGAAGTAAAATTGCCAGACATGACAGAGAAATGTCACCAAGTAAGGGATTAAGTCACCAAACAGCTTGGTTTCAATTTCAGTCAACCATTGCAAATTAGCAAAAAAATTAAACCTTAATTTGAGTAGATTTTGAATAACTACCAATTTTAAAGGCAATCAGACACAGGTCTGTCTTCTCAAGCAAAAAAAAAAAAAAAAATTGCACCATTTTTTTTTTTTATCCTGAAAAAACAAATTCTCTGAAAAGTCTTAGGCCAAACAAAAGTTGCTTTTTGCCTGATTTTACAGTATTAGGAGTATAGCATCAGTCAAATTATTTTCTAAAATCTTATGAACAGTTCCATATACAATCTTTTACATTTCCTTACTTAAAATGCTGGAAAGTACCTATATATATGTAAGATAAAAATATATGAATCAAAATTAAAACTATAAACATTAATTCTTCCTCTTTATTCTAAAATCGTAATAACTTCTCTGCATCGAGTCATTTTTGGATCACTCTATGGCCCGCGCAGCTCTGATAATGTAATAATTGGGAACTGAAACTACCTTTGTAAACCAAAACTTTTCTCTTCGCCGTGCTTCCATCCTTCATAACTACGCACTTCAGCTTTTGCTCTCTACTGTGCTAAGATGTAATTTCGCTGGCTTGCTTTCTATCTCAACAATATCAAAAATGCAAATCTTCTGTGGAAAGGCACGACTAGAATGACAAGTGATTGTGGCCACAAATATCAGTTGCAAATAAAACTGGAATTAAAACTGCCTCGACTGCCGAGTTCTTTAGATATTACCAAGTTAGCATTACTAGCATATTACGCAATCAAAATCTTCTTCAATATGGGTCTAATCATGCATCTACAGTGTTCCGTCTTTTCCTTTGCTTTTTATTATGACATATACATATGTTTTTAGTTATACTAGATTGGTTACATTATATTGCTATTTTGATGGATACTTTTTTCTTACCATTTAATATTATCAAAATATGGGTAAACATTAAACGACATTTACTGTATAATATGTCGTGTGTGCAAATGCAAAATATATGAGATAGTTTGCATATTCTTTCTTTCATATGAAAATACAGTCAAAAGTCGTTAATCCGGACTCGTTGGGACTTCGGCGATTCCGGATTATCGATTTTTCCGGATTATAGATCATCAGTTTAAACCTGGTAAAACGGCATGAAGAAATTATAAAATTAAAAACATGAAACCGTAATTTACGAAATAAAGAACAATTATGATCTAAAGTGTATCAAAATTTACAAAAAAAAAAGCTTAATATTTATTTGTTTACTTTATTAAACATTTCTTTCAATGTAAGTTGTTTAAGTTGCTTCGTTTTTTATGTGATAATACATTCTCTTTAATTCTATAAACATACATAATTTCTTGTTCAGTTACAAAGTTCCGCTGTTCAAGTCCTATAATTGCTGTGTCGAGAATACCGACTAATTTGTCAATCGAAATTTTTTCGTTTTCAATAACCTCTGTGTCACTTTCTTCACTAACGAAAGCGAATTATAATGACGAGGCATTTGATTTAAATCATATCAAAGAGGAAGTATATCAAAATGAAATACTACATTTAGTAAACAATTATAAGCCAAATAAAATAAAAAAATCTGCCCTGAAGATAAGGATAGTGCTGACAGATAGACTTCCAATTCATTGTGCGCCCGCCGCTGCGTTAAAGATAAACAAAGTTTAGATAAACAAAGGATATGCCTTTATCCATTTTTTGCAGCAATTCCACTTTTTGTTTAATGGACTCCGAAACATACTTTCGCTTTGTAGATCTGTTACGTATTAGTAAATATAAATCGGAAATTCTATTTGACATATCGAAAGTTCAAGCTTACTTTTATAAAATTGCTCTAACAGTCTGCAAAAAATAATAAGCCGGATCCAATTCGAAGATTAAGGAACAACGCAATCTGCTACATTAACTGAAATAGATAATTAGAGCTTAGCTTATACAGTCCGTTATACATTAAACGCGCATTCCTAAACATATTTTGCGCACACGCAAATTCATAGCCGTAAAGACATTCATAGCCGTCATCGCGACGCATGCGCAGAAAGTTTGTAGCTTTGAGGTTCGGATTATAGATCATTCCGGATTATGGGTGTCCGAATTAACGACTTTTGATTGTATACAGGATATGCTAGATAGGCAGTCAAGACTATAGAATTATGATACTGACAGCTGATCAGTATATTTTCATAAAGCAGCTTCATAGCTTGTTGCACAGTCTGCATAATGTTATTTATTCTGGGAATTCCATTTTCTTACCACTTTTCTCACTCTCCAAATTTTAAACTTGGAATGACTGCATCAGTATATTTTACTTTG